ATCCATACCCTGATCCAGTGTCACCTTCCCGCGGCCCCATCACCATCCCCATCCCTCTCTGATCCCAGCTGTTCCCGGGGAGGGGACAAGCGGAGCTGGGGCTCACCTCCAGCCAGGGTGACCAGGCACAAGGCCCTCAGCACGAGCAGGATCTGGATGGACACAGCCTTCATGTTCCCGTGGTCGGCAGGAGGAAGGGCACGCAGAGAAGGATTACTGGCAGTATTCCCCACTCGCGACTGCTTATTGCATCCTCCGGAGCAACACAGCTGCTGCTGCCGCTCATGCCGGGATTATAAATCTGGGGTTTCAGCTGGTATTCAGCTTCCCTCACACGTGGCTCGGGATGACGACAGGAGGCGGAGGGAAGAGAAGGGACAGGGGAGGGAATACCGGCTGCTCTGGAGCTGGATGGCCGCTGGAATTCCCCAGATGCGGAGCAGCTCCAGCCCACTTGGCAAATTATTCATGCGGGGGCTTTCAGGGACCGGCTGCTCCATCCTCCTCTCCCACCGATGTGAGTGTTGGCCGGACAGCCTGTGCCAAGACACCGCTGTCCTGAGGCTTTGCAGAGCTCTCCCCACCTCCAAGCCCAGCTCCCCGCTGCTCAGTAAGCTCATTATTTGCTCCAAATGCAGGAGCAGTTATTGCCTTCCTTTTTGGCAGCCATCTTCCAGCAGCAGCGTTGGTCGTTAGGCCAAAAGAGGTGGAATTTGCTAATCAGGATTACGAGCTCATCAGCTACACTGGAGAGCTCAGGCCGGGCTGGCTCTGAGGAGCATCACCGAACAGAGGGGTGAGCAGGGACCCAGTGACCCTCCCCTGAGCAGCAACCTGTGCTTGCTGTGACAGCCCTGACTTTTGATATACTCAGGGTCTCAGCCGTGGGGGGTTTGCTGGTGCTGAAAGCAGGAGCAGAAAGCAGGACAGCCCCAGTTCTGCAAGAGCCAGGCTGGCTGGGGGCTTTCCAGCCCCAGCACCACGCCGGGTCTGAGGCGGACATACCAACAATGCACTCACATCCTGCACCTTTACTTTCTCTTTCAGCTCAGGTCCCAGCAGAACACAGAACCATTTTCCTCTGCCAACTCCCTCAATTGAAAGATGAAGATAACATTAAGACCGAGGCTCTGACTGCCCAGAGTTTTCTTAGGAAAAAACTGGCGTCTCCGTGCTGTTGGAAATGCCAACAGTCCCACTAGGGATTTTATTTTTAAAAAGGGAAACCCCCCCACAGGTTTCCATACAATGCATTTGGGGAAAATCCCAGTCTGTGACTTCAGCCTTTGCTTATGTTGTATTAGGAAGAAAGAGCCCATTTCGAGGAAACAAAACAAAAATTAGGAGTTGAAATAGTCTTGTTTGATCCAGCCGAAACAGAGGGTGCTGCTGGGATGTTTTCTGACCCAAAACGGGTGTTTTCTCAGGCTCTGCAGAGATTTACGGGAAATTTTTGTTCCAGGAACTGGCACTGCCTGGAGCCGTGGGGCACCTTGGCTGCTGGAAGTGATGTCACAGACCCACACGTGCTCACATCTCCCCCCACTGCAGAAACAGGTTCTGCTTCTTCTGCACAGGGTTTGCTGCCAGGGATGGATAAAACCGAGGAGGAAGGGCCCTGACAAGCAGGTACGTGGGAGGGTGAGTCCTTTGTTTGCCAAAGGCATGACTTGCCACAGGCATTGTTGTTTTAAGGCACAAACCACTCTCTGGCAGGGAACACAGCTGGGACAGGGGCTGGAGGGACCAAGCAGCTCTAATGAGTGGTGACAAACCCGGGCTGCAGCCGGCAGAAAACTGGCACCATCACTCCCAACCCTGTCCCTGCACCATCCTCCCATCCCACTGCACATCTGCTCCTCCAGCACAGCAGTGCCAGCCTCCTACTGCACTTCCATGAGGTCTTACAGCACTGAAGAACCCTAAGTCAGAGGACCTGTACCCAGGGATAAACCACAAGCATTGTGCTGAGCTGTCAGTGAAGGATCTCAGGACTTCTCTGAGCTCTTCAGCTGATTTTAGCTTCTTTAGTTACAGTGCAAATTATCTGAGCACTTGGTTTAGTTTTTGCTTCAGCCTTTAGGCATGGCAAGTAGCCATTCAGTGTTGTGAGTCTGTCTCTGCAGATAAAGCTGTGATGTGGATGAGGGCAGGCAGGTGTCCTCCTGCACCAGCAATCCCAGCCCATGAAGATGAAAACACAGCATCCAAGTGATGGAGTGTGCAACCCTGCAACTCTCTGAAGGGGTGTCATAGCACCAGAGAAAAGCAGTGTATAACAGGGAGAGGAGTGGTTTTTTTTCACCCCCCAGATAATAGCTATTGTGTGACTGAGGAAGGACTTTGGGCTTATTGCTCCAATCCACAGATACCACATGTCAAAGGTTCCAGATCCTTTTCCCAGGAAAACCAGCACTTCCCACCCACCACAGGGCTGTTCCCAACAAGGTGCTTGAGCTGTTCCACAGGGTCAAGGTCCTCTCAGGTGGAGGGAACAGATGACGAGTGCTGGGGGAGTTGCTCTTGTGGGCTGAAAGCACTTTGACCCTGCAAAGCTCCATGCACAGGACGATACACATGAAAAGAATGTGGGCCGTGCCCTAAACAAACAGGAAGCGGCCCCAGAACATGTCCCGTCTCCTTCAGGGAGTTTCCACTCTGGAAATTTGTGCTGCTTGGCTGTTTTTGGTTTCTTGTGTAAGGAGGGCTGTTTGTTACAGTAGGTTTGCATTCCTTGAAATCAGGTGATTACAGGGAGAAAAGTAAAAGTCAGTGAGAGCGAGGAGCCTGCATCTGACCCAGAAAAAGATGCCAGAGAAGATCAGATGAGAATGCTGATGATTTCCACTGCATGGAAAGTCTGTTCAGGAGTTCCCAAGACCTCAGGAGCTGGTGA